AGACGCAAGACCCAACACTCTGGATGAGCTTAAGGCCGCTATCGAAGCATCCTGGGCCTCCATAACACCTCAGCAGTGCCACAGGCTGATTGCCTCCATGCCACGCCGCACTGAAGCAGTCATTCATGCAAAAGGATTCCCGACCAAGTATTGAGTGCATAACTGAACATGATTATTTGAAGGTTGGTGTTTTTTGTATTAAAAACACTTGTCTTTCATTGGTGGGATGAAATATGCTAATTTTTTGGGACAGGCATTTTGGGTTTTCATGAGCTGTATGCCATAATCATCAGTATTAAAACAATTAAAGACCTGAAATATTTCAGTTGGTGTGCAATGAATCTGAATTCTATGAAAGTTTCATTTTTATCATTACATTATGGAAAATAATGACCTTTATCAAAATATGCTAATTTTTTTAGAAGGACCTGTATATCTCAGTGATACATCTGAGCTGCACCTGATTTTTTGTGCTTCATCAGTGAGCACTTAAAGACACATTGGTATTGTTGATTCATGACATCACCTAAGCCCCACCTACTCAGAGAAAAAACTGTTGATTATTGGATGACTCTTACAGTTTCGCCCTGTGTAAGATATCAGACTGAAACTTTGTTCGCTAACTGTTGATTACCACACGACATGTTGAAAAGCATAAAGGAAGTGCTTGTCAAACACTTGCCACAAAAGAGCAAGTCACAATAACTCCTGTCTGGAAGGTCGGATTTCGACTATACTTGGAAGACCTGAAGCTGGACAAGTACTGACATGGACGGAAGGCGATGCTGAAGATTCAGGAAATGCGTGCCGTGGTGAACACGTGCGGAATTGGCATGACAGTGTTCACAATAGCAACTTGGTGGACTAGCTGGAGCTCCTGCCGTCGCCATAATGCTGGAGCGACGCTTTGCTGCGAGGGCCTCCAATGCAGCTTGCAGCTTTAATTAGCCCCGAGCAGCAAAGCGCTGTGAAGGCCTATTATAATCGCTCTGTTCAGGACCGAGGTGCAACTTTTTCCGCCAAACGAATTGGCGTTTTGGGGGCCTTATCATTTCCCAGAAGTCAACAAATTTGGCAGACGCATCAGGACTGGTAAAAAATTACGTATTTTAAGGGCGTGGCAAAAATTGCAACAGAAATGAATCAAGACTGCCACCTAGAAATGTTCAAAATACCCTCCGCATTAACCTTAGTTTGTCATAGAAACATGAAATTTGGTACGCTTGTCAAATACCCCAAGATGCACAGAAAACCCTCTGGCAATAATGTTGTACGATAAACAGGAAGGCGGCCATTTTGTAATGCTTGCCCAATTTTCACACCTTTTTGGTGGTTTACAGCCTCTGCATTTGAACAAACTACTAGGGATTTCGCTCAATCAGTTTCAAACTTGGCCATTTTGGTCAAAAGCCATGGGGGACGCAAAGTTATCTAAACAGTTCATTGCGGAGCATTCTGAAGGGGCGGGGCCAGACCTCAAAGTTTGACATCTTGCCATGAAAAACAAAACGCTAATAGCTCCTACAAGAAAACTGTCTGAGACATCAAACCTTCAGTGATTGATCCACATCCGGTCCCCTGCAAGGCTGAATGGTCAAATCATGACATCACTTAAACCACGCCCCCTGACAACTGTAAGTATAAAGGTTTACATTGAATGATCCCTATCTGACCCCTGTTACCTGATCAGCATGATAGTGTGTCCAGTGACTGAAGACATGTTGGTATAACTTGCTTTCCAACACTGAAAGATTTGGGTGGAGCATGTGGGCATCGCGACATGGCGAAGCAAGACGTAACGTTGTCGCCATACGTTTGGCT